GCGGACTTTCTTAGTGAGAATAAGTTTTAAATATTTTTTTATCTCGAATTTATTGTTTAAGCTTAATTCTAATTCATTAGTGATTTTTCTCTATCGTTTTAAATTTATTTTAATTGCATTACGCGAACGTCAATGTCCTTTACATCAACCTAACCCTGTTCCTATAATGCTATTCCATTTTCACAAATAGGATTTTGTGTGAAATAGCATAAATAAATAAGTTAAATAAATCTCATTTTTAATTTGTTCACCTATATTGATTTTCTAGATAAAATTTTGAATCATCGGTGAAAATCGAACTTTGGTTAAACTTTTACTAATATATTTTTAGATACAGTCCGTGTATTGTAGCTTTGTGTGTCAGCTGTCATTCAAAATACACATAATATCAACATCCTTAATTAGTGACGTTACAATGTACCGTACACGGAGAAAACAATGGACCGAGGAATCGTGTAACCGGATAAGAAACAGATTAAATATAAATACGAGTTAGATATAACACTAGCGCACCGATACTGAGACACTCAAATTACGCCATAATTAGATTGCAATTCCATAGCGGCTATTGCTTTCCATATCGTACGTTGTAGGTATATCATCTGTCGTATTCATTTAAATATGTCATATAATGTAAAGCGGGTCAGTTATTGTAAGCAGCGCAGTAATGGTCACACGTTACCTATGTTATTAAAAATCATTGGAGACAGCAATATTGTCTAGCAGTGCTGCCACTTTAATAGGTTTCCATAAAAAAGAGAAGTTTTTACTAAAGCTCAACATTCATTCAACACAAAATTAACATAAAATGTAAAAGGTACGAAATAAAAAATAACTATAAAAAGTATCGCATGTGCAGTGCCGTATCTACCACATAGCAAGAGTAGCAGTTGCTATGGGTCCCGCGCGGATTAAATATGCGGGACATATTTAAACCCACTCTTCTCTGTCTGAGCGTAATTTTTGAGTGCAACTTAATAACTAAGAAAGAGTATTGAATTGTGTTTTACAATAACCCATTAGACTCTACTCGCAACTTTGGTTACAATTTAAATCTTTGTGCAAGTAGTGCAATAGTTTAGTGTTAATGTACTGTTGTACTCGTAGAGGCAGGTTCCTTTCCGTAAGTAGAATTCTACACACATGTCTTGCCTCAGAGGTGGCATTGCCGGATTTTTAACTGTGCTTGTTGCATTGGCCGGCAGCTAGGTTACTCACCGTTTAGATGAGTAACCTAACGCACGCGAATTAATTGTTATTGTTTAGGCACAGTCCTCCCTGCCGCAATGTTCCCCAAATTAGGCACATAAGTTACGATGGGCTCCCTTTTCGAGGAGTTCGTCCGACGACGCTGTGATATATGGGAAAGCTACCTAGCGTTCAAATCCGAAAAACGATTAGTCGTTTAATACGCCGACGACAGCCCGCTTTCACCGGCAATCGAATCGCCGCCATCTCCGGCGCCCTCTGCGCCCGTAACCCCGTTGCCTTCCGCGACGCAAGAAGCGCCTGTCGCGTCGACATTCGCCGCTGCGAACACGCTCGCAAGCTACCCCGGCACCTCCTTCTGCACCGTCGTACCCGACTCATACTCGGACGGCGGATCGGATATGGAGGTAGATTTAAGTCCCGCCGGTAAACCCAATGACGACGGCTGCACCGTCGACACCGGACGAAAAAAGAAGGGCAATAAACGCCCTGCCGTAGATAGCGATCACGAAAGCGAGGTCGCTACCTCAATTAATAGATCTACTGCGACGCCCGCCAAAAAGGCGGCCGAGGAGGTCTAACCGGCGCCCGAATACGCCGCCAAAAGAAAAGACAAGTCTCCTCCGCCTATCATCGTCCAGGAGAAGGCTAAATGGCATGAAATTTGCGTGTGGTTCGAACGCCATATTCGCGACCCCCGGTCGAAAAACACCCATCAAGGTATTCGTGTATACCTCGATAGCATCGATGATTTCCGCCGCGTTACTAAATATTTACGCGAAAACAAAGTAGATTTCCATACCTACTCGCTGCCTGAAGAACGCAAACTTCGAGTAGACAATGTAAAAATTGACACTCAGGGATGCCCGGTGCATGCCATACGCTGCCTACGTCACCCCAAAACCCGTGTCCCGATGGACATTGTAATGGTGGACTTGGACCCTACCCCGAAAGGTAAGGCAATTTTTAATTTGAAGGGGCTCTGTGGGCTTAGCAAACTTGTCGTTGAGCCTCCACGGAAGTCAGGCGTTGTTGCGCAATGTCGTAACTGGCAACTTGTGACTTTAAAATTATTTAATTCACTAATTTCAAAGATGATACACATATGAAAGGTTTTCCACAACGGATAATGGTACAAAGTATTCGAAAGGTTAAAGAAACTTAAAACAAATGCTATAAATCCGTAAAGTATTGTTATTTCATATATATTCAATTAAATTTTGGTTTTGTCATAATTATGTTTTTCCCGTACTTGATAACGAGAACAATGAAAACGAGAGTCCCAATAATTTTCTCAGAAATATGGATGTCATGTTGATACGGTGGCATCAAATATAATATTATAGTGTTTCAAAACTATTTTTACTAGCTGACCCAGCAAACGTTGTTTTACCATATAAATTATTTCTAGAGAATTTGTGAATCTGAACACATAGAAAAATAATTTTCGAAACGCATGGGTGCGTTAATGTTTGACAATTTGTATGGGTAAGTAATGGTATGCAATTTGTATGTATTCGTTGATAAAATTCTTGCTATTTCAATTTTCCATGCAATTTTTCCATAATTTCGCATCGTTTCATCCTTAAAAAATAGCCAAATTGGTTCAGCCTTTCTCGAGTTTTAGCGAACAGAAATTAATTTTTTTTATTCCAATTCGTTTTGGTGGTATCGGTGTAAGGAAAATTTCTAGTGTCGCTCTACCTGCCTTCCTTGCTTCCGTGCATAGCGTAAATAATTTATGTAATAACATTCTTAATCACGATTCAGAACTTTCCTATGCAGAGGAGGCAAGGATGTCTTGGCTGTCTATCTGTCCCAACGAAAATATCCCACTGGAAGTAAACCTACAAAAGCAGTGGGATGTTCCTTTGGTGCGGAGAGTACAGAGAGATACGTTTCAATCTTTAGAAAGTAATTTAGAGCGTGCCCGTTTCCTAGGAGTCTCATCTAAAGAATCGAGTTATTGGCTTCACGCTTTACCATCAAGTAACTTGGGCACATTACTTGACGATGAAAGCTTACGCATTGCTGTAGGAATCCGTCTGGGGGCACCGATTTGTCAACCACACCAATGCCCTTGTGGTGTCAGTGTAGACAAATTTGGTCTCCACGGGCTTTCTTGTCAAAAAAGTGCTGCCCGTTTTTCTCGCCACGGTTCCCTGAACGACATCATCCGTAGGGCTCTTGTTTCTATCAATGTTCCATCTATTTTAGAGCCCTGTGGCATTTTACGCGACGATGGTAAGAGACCCGACGGTTTAACATTGATCCCTTGGGAGAGAGGCAAAGCCCTTGTATGGGACGCCACTTGTGTAGACACTTTGGCTGCCTCTCATCTAAGGGGTACTTCGGTCAGGGCCGGGGCGGCATCGGAGGCAGCTGAAGTAAGTAAATGGCGCAAATATGAGTCTTTATGTTCAGATTATATATTTGTGTGCCATTTGCTGTTGAAACATTAGGTCCGTGGGGTCCCCGCACATCAAATTTTTTTAAAAGTTTATGTCCTAGGCTTAACGCCGCGGCTGGTGACAAGAGAGCTGGTTCTTTTCTCGCGCAAAGGTTAAGCATAACTATTCAGCGAGGAAATGCAGCTAGCGTTCTTGGCACCATGCCGCGTGGATTAGGTTTATTAGATAATATGTAATTTTAGATAGATTTAATCTTGTAAATATTAGATCAATAAAGATTGTCTTTTCTTTAAAAAAAAAAAAAAAAAAAATTATAGAAGATTCAATTCAGTTTACCGATACATGTTATAACGTTTCATAGAGCACATAGTTGTCATAAGCCTAGTAGCTTCGGCATGTGTTTAAACTAAAACGTCAATTGACTGACGTTTAGGTGTCATGCCATGTCATGTTGTAACTTGTTGTCATTTGTGATTTTGTTTATAAATATGTAGATAACAAATTGTCAAGTTAAGAATTTAGGAAAACTTATTACCTATATAACCACCTATTAACTATATACAAAACAACGATATAATCGATATTTAGAATAATTACTCATGGTTTCTAGTACCTACCCGAATATTTCATTATGCGGTACCCAAATAGTTCGTTATTCATATAACGCATAAATATTCAAATAAGCTGACTGAATGCAACATCAGTTTATCACGTTGAAATGTTCATCGGGCAATTTCGTGTGCTTCACTCGATGGTTATGACCTTGTTCGTAATTTAGCCGCGAACAGTTGACTGCGTGCCTACCAAAGACCCCTGCCAAGTATTATATAAACGTAATTTTTTTCTACATTACATTCAAGTGTATCTATTTATATAAAGGAGTTTATAAGTAGAAGCTAAGAACTATGGATGATCGATTAATTGAATATCTTGCTAATACTTTAAGCACATTAACTATTTTATCATGTTTGTTTTTAAAAGTGCCTCAAATAATGTATGTTAGGGAGAAGAAATCGGCGAACAGCCTATATGTTCAAGCCATGCTTTTGGAAATTGCTGGGTTTGTGCTCTTCCATTCTTATTTCTAAAATATTTAAAATTTGTACTTTAGAGATATCAATTTATTATGTTACACACTAAGTTGTATTTTTCTATTCCAGGTTCTCAATAGTTACCCTATACAACTATACTAATAGCTACAGTATTTTAACCTACTTGGAATACCCTATAATATTATTACAAGTTTATGTATTGCTATTTTATGTTTTGAAATATCAGAAGCTGCTATATATGCCTTTAGTTGTAATTGCAACAACAGCTTATTTTTCTACAGTAGCAGCATTTGGCTTCGGTTTTCTGTCTAATAATATCTTGTCTTACATGGTGGTAAGTTTTAGTGTCTGGATTATTTTGAAATTTTCATATTATTACTGTATTAAAATATTATTCTAAATTCAGGATATTAATTAAATTAATCATGGTTAAAAGGTCTTTACATGCTTGTCCAATATCATACTTCACTACTTTCAAAGGTACTGCAGCATGAAAGCAAAAAGTGTATCATTTAGACATTTAAAATTTTTAACACCAAACATTATTTGTATTTTTTTTAAAACACATATTTGTACTAAGAAATGATTTGATTTAATATATCAAATAACATATACAGCGTGTCGTTACCATCGCAACAATAAATGAACACACGTCTAACGCTACTTGCCAATAATCATAAAAAATATTAACGTTAAACAAAATCCATTATTAAAAAATAATATTTTTCTAACAAACTACAAAATTTGTAACAAGCTATACAACTCGCGCCACAGTGTCGCATTACAAGCCTCTCCCTCTAACAGTATGTTTTGTCTCTTTTAAATTCATTCAATCCATTCGTATGCTTTGTGACCTTTACAAATGAACTTTATGTTACAGTTTTATATGTAAGGATGTTCTAAAATTCTGTGTTTTGTAAAATTTAATAACTCGGTAAATATTGATGTTTAAAGAATGTAAATGTTTAATACAATTTTAAAAAGTTATCCCCTATATGTGTGTTCATTTATTGTCACGATTGTAAAGACACGCTGTATAAAAAATTAACTTGTGTTCATATCAATAATAACATGAACTGAACAAAACAATGAACTGCAATTATAAACTGTAAACTAAGAATTTTTATTCTCTTCACAGCCCTTCTGTACACCTCTCAGTGGTTTTGCTAAAGTTACATATATGTATGGAATTATTAAAGCTGGTAATGCTGATGCAGTATCATTAACCACATGGATAATTTCTGTTGCAACAAATATGTGTAAGTCTTTTAATTTAGTTTAAACTTTCTTCCTTCTTTGCATATTTGTTTTATTTGTTGCATATTGCACAGAATCAATTGGAGCATTTAGTTGTACATCAATAAGACCAACAACATAGTCTTATTCTTTTTCTCTGTTAAAAACACCGTCTGTGTAAAATACCAGATCAGTTGGCTTTGGATAATAATTGCAATGCATGCCTTTTTATATATAGTAGTAGTCTTATTATTATAAATAGTTTTTTACTGTTGTTATTATGTCCAACACCCTGATCTAAAAAGGAGGTGGTGTGCTGAGATTGGATTATCCAATAAAACTTTCACAGTTTTTAAATCATTTTTTTATCTTTAAGTTGTTATATAAAATCTTGAGTAGGTCCTATTTGTCATTAATTATTTAGATATATGCTGATGATTAATGATTTTATACATGTCAACAATATAAGACAGAATTTACAAATATGTACAAAACATATCTAGACACCAGAAATATATTAATAACAATATTTCTGGTGCGATAGACAGGTTATAAGAAATATTAAGCTATTCAAGAAATATTATTAAATTAATATTTGTAATGTTTTTTTCAGCTCGTCTGTTCACTGTATATGTTGATTCTGCAGATGTGAAGCTCATGATAAACTTCTTGGTGTCAACATTATTGAGTACTGGAGTTCTAGTCACAGCTTTATTGTATCAATATCAATTGCTACCCAAATTCCAGTGTGGAAAGTTGTCAAGAAAATATCATAAACATGATGATTAAGTACCTTTATAACTTTTTCATTTTATTTAAAGAATTTAACTTTCTATATTCTTGCAATGTATTTGAATATTAATAATACATACTTCAATTTTGTATACTGTAATTGAAATATCAATTTGATCTGTTTAGGCTACATTTAACTGTGATCTCCTAATATTTAAAGTGTATGAGGCTATGAAATCAAATGTTTAATTTAATTGTTCAAGTATATGAAATGTTTGTTATTTATTCATACTTATAATAGTTCATAACATTTGTTATATGAAACACTTGCAAAGTACTTTGAACATTAAATTACTTGCTCCAAATTACCATTATTTATAAATCAAATTGTTTACAAACTTTGAGGATATTATTGATCTAAAACTTAGTTGCACAATTGAACCTATACTGAAATGTGTAAATATGATATGATTTGATTATGTATTTGATTTGATATATTGATAAATAGAAGTTGTTTAGATCAATTTTTTCAATAATTGTAAATATGTAGTCTATGATTTTTTTAATCTACAACTTTTTATTGAATAGTACAAATAGAAATTTTTGTAATTTTTTTGCACAATGGTTTAAGGTTAATGGTAATATATTGTGCATAAACAGCATTTATAACATTTATTGATTAACTATTTTTTCTAGTCTACTCCAGGTCTATTTAGCGTAATTATTGCTAGTGTCTTTTTAATGATTCCTATTATTCATGTTTATCTTAATTAACTTTTTAATTAACCTTTAGTGATTTGACATTTGATTGTTTCGTTTGGTATGTATTTATATAGGAATATTCTGATAACTATTCTACAGAAGTTCTTACAAATATTTTAATTTTGTGGGATTGTATTGATCTGTACTAACATTGACTTTCAATGCCACTGGTAGAAAGTAATAATAAATAAATTACTCAATGTATTATTAATAGAATTTTATTAATGCTTATATACATACACAAACATAAACCAAACTTGTTATTAAATTATAAACTTATAAAATGTGTTTTAATTCTTATTTTAATGGCTTTATGGCTTCCTATTAATTATATAAATTACTTTTAATTGTTCACTGACTCAATTATAACTGTTTATATCACTTATTTGTTTAGAGAAAGTTAGCCATGTATTACTTGTCTATTACGACATGGATTCATATTAAAATTAGTGTAATGAACAGGATTGTAAATTACATTACTTCATCATCATCATGTTTTAACATACGAAATTTATTTAATATTTTATGTGCTGGAGAAATTGTCGCACGAGGCGATGACTGTAGACATAATTTCTTATTACTTTTTATGCCCAGTATATTATTATCCTTTTGCCATTCTTTTTTCGAAACGTTTGGTTTCGGCGAATATTCGCGTTTCGTTAATAGCAGATGGGAAAAAATTATTCTTGGTGACTTTTCAAATGAGGACGTGGATGTTGATTGTTGTGCGGGCGGCGTATTATTAGAACCGTGAAGAAGCGAGCTCATGTACGAAGGTTCGCATCTGTATACATCGTGAACTGTGTTTCTAAGAATACTGTCCAGCTCAGGCAACGCTGGCAGGTCTTCTGGCGCACTCGGGGATGATTCGACAGCTTTTGATTGGTTTTTTTCAATCTCTATTATTCCCTGAGGTTCCTGAGCGGAATAGTTAGTACGACCGACTAAATACTTACCTTTACGCCGTGCTCTAGCTTTGGCAATATTCGCAGCGCTAACTGATCCATATAAATGGATGTTTTGGTCTATATAAGTGCAGACGGCTTCAGCTTCTTCATGTGGGGATAGCTGAGCATCCCGAAAAAACCCATAACCGTTACGTAAATCATTTATGCCTTCGATTATTAACCATGTTAAAGTTGCGAGCACTAACAACACGGTAGTGAAAACCGCGATTACTGTAGTCGTGTCAGGCTCATCAAGTTTATATTGAAGTTCACCTATGACTCCGTACGTAACGATATTGCGTGTAAACTTTTTGGTATGAGCGCGGCACGTGTAAAATCCCCGGTGGTAATTTTCTGCTGTTGCTGTCAATCTAAGAACCTTACCATCATCAACGGTTCTGACGGAAGTCTCTTTGATAACAGTATCTATAGAAGTATCTAAATAGAACCACCAGGCTTTATTTGGTGTTCTTTTTATTCTGGCATGAAGGCAAGTTAAGTTCAAATGATTTCTTGTGCTCCATGTTGTTTCATGATAGAAACCAGATATACTAGCTGTTCTTGAAGACATTTGAATTTTGTCATCCCTATAGCGCTCTACTCCAAAGTTATGAATATCCAATAAATTATTATTCAATTTAACGGATGCTATTATACCAGCGAAAGATGTGAATTCTTCTGATATTATTTTTTTATATTCACTGGGCACACTTCCGATATAAAACTCATCGTAACATAAAATATATGTTGTTCCGTTTATAATTTCCGACAAACCAGGGGTTTTTGCCTTCGATGTAAAGTTTTGATTGTATAAGAAATATTCATTAATTCCACGTTTTCTTTTAGTTTCACCCGTAAGCAAAATGTGAAGCCTTTCCCCAGAATTTATTGTGGCTTCAATTGTTCCACTTTCAGCTTGTTTGGATAATTTTACATCTAACCATTGATCAGGCAGACATTCTGTGGAGCTAGTGATTTCAGATCGGAAGTCATCGATTGACAGTTTTATCTTCAGTCTCATATTTAATAAAGCCATACAAAGCCAGTGATCAATTTGAACGCCTGGTAGAAACAGTATGATGCCAACTTCTTGTTTAGGTCTTACTGTTAGTTCTATGGTCCACTCTTTTTGGTTATCGAAACAAGGTAAGCGCAAGTATTGGTCATTTTCTAGATATAGATACGCTTCCTCCGCATTTGCGTTTTCGTAAGCTATATTTGAAGCGGAAGTTGAAACAAAGTCGGATCTAATCATGCGGTTACGATTAATAACCATGTCTAATGGAATAAAATTGATAACAAGTTCTTGGATTACTCCATGAAACTTTTCACCGACCGTGATGAAAATCATGTCGTCTACTAATTCTGGGTCACTAGGGAATGTCCCGTGTACTGGGTTTTGTGCGTCGTTTATCCTTAATGAAGCGCCTTCCTTGCTGACTGTGATCATAGCTGTATGCCAAGCAGCCGGTTCAATCACAAAATTCGAACAAATACGAAGAGTGACAGAAGATAATCCTCTCGCATCTACACAAAGATACCATTTTTGTAGACTGAGCCTAAATGTTGGATTAGATATATCTCCACGTCTTATTAGCGACCCATGAGGAGATAACGCCATAAAGCGAATAAAAGAATGAAATAGTGTAGAGCGCTTTTGGCGAAAAGTCGTAGTGCAAGAATGAATCACCATTGAACACAGTGACTACGTGGGAGTATACTTCGCAAGGCATCAAGTGACAAGAGCCCATCTCGGTTTTAGGGCCTATGCAATTTTGCCCCCTTGACGGAATGGGTCTAGTACAAGATCGAGTCCTTAATCGTGTGCCTGCTCCACAACTTCTTGAGCATGTTCCCCACATACCCCATCCAGACCAACCGCCATTCAATAAACAATCACTATTTTGACACACTTCTATCTCATCATGCTGACCTCTACAATGTGTTCCCCATGTAGCGGAACTACGCGATATTTGATTTTCCATGCATACCCTTTTTCTTCTTCTCACACCAATTCCACATTTTTCTGAACATTCTGACCATTTCCCCCAGTTACTCCAATTGCCTCCAATGTTTTGGTCTGCATAACTGCCATCGATAGCGCATTGATCACCTTCACAGTGTTCCGATTGCAAAGGATTTCCTACACATACTAACTTGGCATCAGATGGGGGAGGCGAGTCACATCTTCTTATTCTCCAATGAAATCCTTTCCCGCAAAGAGCGCCACACGCTGACCAAGATCCCCAAGTACCCCATTCTCCCATAACGGGGCACCCAACATTGTGCTTAACACATTGAAGTGAATTCCATATAAGTTCTGGATTTATTTGCCATGTATTATCATTTGTAAGGGCCGATTCTACGACTTCAAACAGGCATTCCTCTTGAAAACAGCGTTCCATTATTTTCGGAACCGCTTCTAATTGTCGCATCGCTCCCATACGAATTGAATCACCATCAATGCATTTGCGGAAATCGTCCACGGAACAATTTGTCAAATAGCAAGAATCAATTTGTTCATCTAAACCACTACATGGTGAACCATCTTTGGATGGTACGGGGTTGTTGCATTCTCTTACTCTTTTCCGATGACCAATGTTGTCACAAGTTCCACGACATTTCGACCACGGCGACCAGGGAGACCATCCTCCATCTACGGGACAGGTTGGTTCCGGGATAACACCCAATGCACATTCAAGGCGCCAAATAGTCTGTTGCTCTTTAGCATCTGGTTTTTTGTTTAAAACTAAGCTAAAACAATGTATTAGCAGAAAGTGAATAAAAATGTAATAGTGTTTGTTTTTTGTGTTAACCATTGTACAGAGATACGTAAAGACAATAACAATGTCAGGTTAATTTTACATCAAATATATTTCTTTAAAGTGACACTCATATTTTAAAACAATGTCTGACCGCAATAAGCTCCAAAAAGTACTGAACGGATTTACATAATACGATTTTCACCAATGGACGGAGTAGAACTCGCGATGTTTTCGGTGTATAATAATGTATGGTTTATTATAGGAGTGAGTTATAATATAAGAATAACACCACACGGAGAAGAAGAGTTCCGTGTGGTGGTCGCCGACATCCGATAGGATAGGGCACCATATAAAAAAAACGTGATACTACTAGGTAAAATCGAGTACCTGTTACGCCTGTTCCTTTTACACAAGGACGCTGTTACATTTTTTGACGCGCTTTGATTTGATTTATTCTGGCTAGCTAGTAGCAACACGCAACAGTCAACACTGACTACTATTTAGTTTTTACCAAAATTGCATGCCATTGAAATTTGAAACTAATTTTAAGCTCGATTTTATAAACTAACTAATATTGACACTTGAAGATATTATTTTATTTATTAAATTAGTAGTATTAAGAAAGGTAGTAAGTGCTAGTTAATTAAGTTATTTTATTTCTTAGTGCTTATATCACCCGACTACGTCAGAAGGTAGGTTTTTTTTGCAACTTTTTTTCAAATATGTCGTATATTTTACCGACGATATCATAAGAGACGCGGGCAACCGGTGGATGCAAATGGAAAAGTGTCTCGTTAATTGTTGTGGCTTTCTAAGGGGGAGGCCTATTTTCAACAGTTGACGTCTTGCGGCTGATGATGAATATAATAATATACATTGAACAACTGGGATAGAGCGTAACTTTTTAAGGTGACCGTCGTAAGCATGAATACAGAAAAGCTTGTGACAGGACACCGCATTAAGGAACACTGTGTGGAACAGGAACTGCTATTTAACAGCACAGATACAGTCTGTTATCTCAAGACACCTCTTATAATTACCTGTTACGATAAATACGCCTCACTCAGTCACTCCTAATTTAATGTAAAGTGTCTGAAATATGACGATGATTGCTGGAAGTGACGATTGCTAGAATTTGGAAAAAATCATGCCACGGGAATAATAAACACCTGGAGCAAGTGAAAGGAGGGATGTGAAAAAATAATCGATTTTCATATTTTTCAATAAAATCGATTGTATCAATTTCACATTTTAATTGACTTGTAGATCAGTTTAGTAACTTTTGAACACATTTGATACTAATAAATGGCATTTGATTCTAATAAATGGCATTTGATTCTAATAAATGGCATTTGATTCTAATAAATGGCATTTGATTCTAATAAATGGCATTTGATTCTAATAAATGGCATTTGATTCTAATAAATGGCATTTGATTCTAATAAATGGCATTTGATTCTAATAAATGGCATTTGATTCTAATAAATGGCATTTGATTCTAATAAATGGCATTTGATTCTAATAAATGGCATTTGATTCTAATAAATGGCATTTGATTCTAATAAATGGCATTTGATTCTAATAAATGGCATTTGATTCTAATAAATGGCATTTGATTCTAATAAATGGCATTTGATTCTAATAAATGGCATTTGATTCTAATAAATGGCATTTGATTCTAATAAATGGCATTTGATTCTAATAAATGGCATTTGATTCTAATAAATGGCATTTGATTCTAATAAATGGCATTTGATTCTAATAAATGGCATTTGATTCTAATAAATGGCATTGATTCTAATAAATGGCATTTGATTCTAATAAATGGCATTTGATTCTAATAAATGGCATTTGATTCTAATAAATGGCATTTGATTCTAATAAATGGCATTTGATTCTAATAAATGGCATTTGATTCTAATAAATGGCATTTGATTCTAATAAATGGCATTTGATTCTAATAAATGGCATTTGATTCTAATAAATGGCATTTGATTCTAATAAATGGCATTTGATTCTAATAAATGGCATTTGATTCTAATAAATGGCATTTGATTCTAATAAATGGCATTTGATTCTAATAATGGCATTTGATTCTAATAAATGGCATTTGATTCTAATAAATGGCATTTGATTCTAATAAATGGCATTTGATTCTAATAAATGGCATTTGATTCTAATAAATGGCATTTGATTCTAATAAATGGCATTTGATTCTAATAAATGGCATTTGATTCTAATAAATGGCATTTGATTCTAATAAATGGCATTTGATTCTAATAAATGGCATTTGATTCTAATAAATGGCATTTGATTCTAATAAATGGCATTTGATTCTAATAAATGGCATTTGATTCTAATAAATGGCATTTGATTCTAATAAATGGCATTTGATTCTAATAAATGGCATTTGATTCTAATAAATGGCATTTGATTCTAATAAATGGCATTTGATTCTAATAAATGGCATTTGATTCTAATAAATGGCATTTGATTCTAATAAATAGCATTTGATTTTAATAAATGGCATTGGATATTTATGGCTACATTTAGTTTTTTTATTGTTTAAGATTTGAAATTTTAAAAACAGTGGTTTTGTATTTTTGTAATGAAACCTGAAGGTTGTATTATAGGTTATTTTGTATAAAAGTAAAGTAACAGCCTATACATGTCCCACTGCTGGGCAAAGGCCTCATCTGTACAGAGGGTATCAGGGTATAGTCCACCACCACCATCATCGTCATCATTTCAGCCTGTTTCAATCCACTGCTGAACATAGGTCGCCCCCACAAACTGCCATGAAAAACGATCCTGAGCAACCTGCATCCATCAACTTCCCACTCAATTGCACTGGTCTATATTTTATTCAGTGGGAGGTCGTCCGACACTGCGATAGCCAGTACGAGGCTGCCACTCGACAACCTTTCTTCTCCAGTTATATGTTTGGCCCATCGCCACTTCAAATTACTAACCAACTAAGCTATATCGGTTATTTTCGTTCTACTGTGGATGCCTTTGTTGAGAACTCTTATCACGCAGAGAAATACCGATCATAGCCTGCTCCATAGCTCTCTGAGAATTTAATTAAAAAAAAAAAAATCGATTATTTGAAATTAAAATTTTTCCCAAAACGTTTATGAATGGCCGGAATGTCCATGCGAAGCCGCGCCCTAGTGTAAGATCATTCAGTCTTATTTATTAATATGTAAATTAAGTAAATAAAGTACTTCATTTTTAACAGTCTTATTTATTTTTCATTTTATTTTTGTTTTACAAAATATATATGAATACAAATATATAATTTAAGTCATCTATTGTTTCATCTAATAATCACAGTTCTTACATTTACTTCTGTACACAGTAAGCTGAACTATAGGCAAAGCAAACTTAAATAACATCAGTTAGTATCTAATACTGACTATTTACAACAATAAATAGTTAGTTTATAACAATCCAAAAATAGTAAATAGTATTAAAAGTAAGTCAATACAATGTTATACATAAATATATTAATAAATCAGAACCCAATTTTGAGGGTGATTATATGCAAAGAAAATGGGACAATGCAGTATTAAAGAATATTCATTTTCATCCACATTTTCCGATACAAACAGCCATTGTTGGAGCCAATCTTTCATATCCTGATTACTAAGATTCCTTGAATTTAAACCTCTTATGTGACAGGCATTTCGAAGTGATTCAGTATTTAAGACTTCTACTCCTCCTTCTCTGACAATTGCTCTATCCATTTGCAAAAGTAAAAAAGCCCTGTACTTTAGTTTCTTTCTCCTAAAGACACTTTTTCGCATACCAAGCATTTTAAGAAGGTATCCCTGAAAGATGATAAAAGGAATGGTAAAAAAATCATAAATAAAACATCTCAATTTAGTTATGTTAAGAGAATTAGTATAGAATTCTTACCATATGAGAATAAGATAGATAGTTTAAATGGTATGGGTCTTTAGTGAACAATTCTTTACAGGCCAAAACTTCATTTGGTGATGGATGCACACCAGAACCTAACAAGGCTAGAACTCTCCTCCACTTCTCCTTAGCACTGCTATCTGGTACATAATCTAGTTTAGCTTGCAGTGCTCTTAAAACAGGACGATTATTTCTTAGTCTTTCCTTTAGATCTTCTATTGAGAACTGTGCCTTTTGTTGAATTGACCAGAAATGTGAGCACAGTAATTTTTTAGGTTTCATAAAGCTGGAAGTAAATATTTGTTATCAAAAGAAAGAAAAGTAACACATCATCAGCCTCCTCCACTAGCTACTTAGGTGGGGTTGGCACATGTGAAACATGTTGTTAGTGGTATGAGTTAGATTTTTCAACAGGATGTCTGGCTGATGTTAATCCGCCTTGGGAACAAAGGTCCCAGATACAGAACAATAATTGGACAAGAATTTTATAAAAGTAAAGTAACCACAACTCGGCAAAGGCCTCCTCTGTATTGAGGGTATCAGAGCATAGTTCACCATATGGCCCCACTTCAGATTGGCAGATTTCACATATCTTTTATTATTATTTCTAAAATACTAAAGTTTCCTCACAACATTTTCATTCACCACTGAGCATGTGATATGTCAGCTCTTAAAATGAACAATTTCATTGGTGCGGGCATCAGGGATCGAACTTAGGTTGTTCAAGTATATTGAATTAAAGGCAAGAGCCCAGACACTGAGCTATCATTGCTCTATGACAGAACTCATTTGAATAACTCTTTTAACATGTTTCCCATCCACCACAAGCAAAGATCAATAGTACAAATACTATTGATCACAATAAAATAAACAGATTACAATTTTTTGCGTTCACTTGGCTACCCACCAAATTCAAATTTACCAAGACAATAACAACATTGATAATTGCCAAAGAAAAACTCAAAACAGTAATACTAAATAATTACTTTATTGCTCTCTATTGCTTAAAGATGAATAAATTATAAATTAATATTTGCAAAAAACTATCTAAAAATATGTTTTTGAATACAACAAATTAAACACACTTTGGATATAATAGGGTTTCTGTGTCTACACAAATGGGCATAGCAGACAGATAGAGCCGAGAGCCCAACAGTTCCAACAAAATGCACAAATTTATCAAAACAAAAAATTTAGTTTGCTTACGCAAGAGGAAAAATTATATAGTTTCCAAATGGTACTGCTGACAGTATTAAAACCGGTGCTATTCGCCACATATCCGATGGCATCTTTTCAAATAATTCAATTTCCTGGCGAGTCATATTAGAAAAGCCACGATCTTTTGTAATTTTTATTCGCAGCGAGATATAGGTTTTTAGGTCTCGCAAAAACTCCTTAATACCAACACTGAATACTCTATACATGTGCATGGCAGCTGGAAATCGGTTTTCTAACACCTTTGTATAGTTCTTAACATAATTTATGTATCGTTGTACAATGTACGTTCGTATTTTTTCTTTTTCACTTTTGAATGCTTTTGTATGTTTAAAACGGTCGATCGCTGGATAGCTGCAAAAGACGATAAATAACATATTTTTATAGGAATATTACAATAGGATAATTATTTGGTGGAAATATTACAATTGTTCATACCCATAAATATTCAAAGACTGTTTTGTAGATATAACTGAAGAGAAGCGATTACAATGTAAAATGTATCTAGAAACTGAGACTATTCTGTGAATAGACATAATTTAATGTTCAGTTATTGTGTCCTTCGATAAATTCCGTCATAATTTTAAAAGGTTTATTGCGCGTTCGTTGCTTGTAGAAGTGGGCGATACAAATCGTATCAGATATGAAAACTAGATATTAGTACAATATCCCAATATCGATTACTGGCTCGTTCAATATCTATGTATTTTACAATATCTGATATTTCCGAAATCTGATGTACCGTGCTCGCTCGCTATACCAACACGAATCGCGATACGGCGATATCATACGCGTTTGCCACAATATCTGATTTTTAAACAGATTTCGAGAGACAAAGCGCGTGAGATACAAATACTCACTAGTTAGAGCGGGACGGCAAGCAATGCACGATATCAGATATCGAGCGACAAAGCGCGTGAGATATAAATACTTACTAGGTAGAGTGGGACGGCAAGCAATGCACGATATCAGATATCGAGCGACAAAGCGCGTGAGATATAAATACTTACTAGTTAGAGTGGGACGGCAAGCAATGCACGATATCAGATATCGAGCGACAAAGCGCGTGAGTAATATACTTACTAGTTAGAGTGGGACGGCAAGCAATGCACGATATCAGATATCGAGCGACAAAGCGCGTGAGATATAAATACTTACTAGTTAGAGTGGGACGGCAAGCAATGCACGATATCAGATATCGAGCGACAAAGCGCGTGAGATATAAACACTTACTAGTTAGAGTGGGACGGCAAGCAATGCACGATATCAGATTTTTAAACAGATATTATGAATAAGTTAAGTAATTTTGAATCTTAACACCATGCAAATAAGATCCGTTTCATTTAAATACTAATCTTGGTATCAGCGATTACTACAACGATATTATTATATTTTTATTGTTTTGTTTAGCCTTGAGCCGTAACGGGCGACAAAGCGCGCAGTTAAGTAATTTTGAATCTTAACAGCATGGAAAAAAACTCTGTTGCATTTAAATACGAATTACGGTATTAACGATGTCTTTGAAATTTTGTTCAGCCTTGAGCTTAAATAAAATTAAGGAAGAAAAATATACAATGGAAATTTTTTAGGAGGTAAATTTTTTGTGAATATTTTTATTAGCTAAATTTTATTCACATTTTTGGAAAAAAATAAAAGTACACAAAAAGAAAAATATAATTTAATAGTGCTGTGCTGCTTTGGTGGAAATCAGACCAAGGCTTATGTGCCTTGTGTGTATATTTTAAATTCTTCCGCCCTAAGCTATAATACTGAATGTAACTGAATGTAATGGAAATGTACTGAATGTAACTTCTTACACAAATAATAAAAATATTGCCACTCGATTGCGTGTTCTAAAAATATGTTAAAGTCAATTATTAAGCGGTATATAAGATGTTAAAATAAATCATTTTTATATTACTTCAATTTATATTTTTAATGAAATTTTTTATTTAATAATTTAAAATTTGAAATTTGAAATTTTTAGTAAGACAGGGTTAATTATTAATGATCGTCGAACAAGACTTTCGACGAATAAAGTCAGAGAGCTTACGTTCCTAAACGTGAATTTGAACCCGGAGGGATATAAATAATTATTAACCCTGACATAATTGTAAATATATAATGTTAAGTTTTAAATATAAGGAAATTATGTACATAGAATGAATCAACTTTTAAATACGCCTGCACAATTTTATATTTATAATAAGTATGAAATATTGCAGCCAGTCCTAAGCCTGGAAAAAGTATGAAGGGAAGTTATTTCATTCATCTTATATCCACTCCCTTAAAGTATACAATTTTTTTTTTTTTTTTTTTTTAGAATTCAATTAATCAACGTGGATAGGGAACCGTAAAATATCTAGATATTAAAATACATAGTTTCGAAATCTGATATTTGAAATCGATATCGGATTCAGATACGGTACTCAGAAAAAGCGATACGACCCATCCCTAGTTGCTTGATATTGATGATACGTCAAAATGACAAAATCAAATAGTTTGACAATGACGCTTGTAAGAATTAGGTTATTTATTTTAGCTGTATTTGAAAAACTTTCTAAAAGTAATAAACCATCATTATTCAATATTATATCTTATTGAAAAAAAAATCTTTTCTGTCCATAACTCCATACATTTGATCACTTAATAAACTACTAACTTTATAGACATACATCATACATTTTTACGCCGTATTTTTTTTTTGCTCATTTATTTTGTAATAAATAATTTATGAAGGGGTATCAACTGACTACAATACAGAAAGCTATTTTTGAACTTTTTGTACCTCACAAATAAAAAAAGGTTTTCATCCCTGATTTTAGTAATGAAATATATACACCTTCATGCATTATTTGTGTTGCAGTACTTCCAATCCGGAGTATGGAGTGAAACCAGCCAGGATTTGAACTACCAAGAACCAGTAGTAGTAAAGGAACTGACATTTTTCAACATGTTAAAATTTAAACGAACAAAGCGTGTTATTTGTGTAAATACTCTGTTTTTCGCGTCCTCAGCTATAGTGAATACATGTACTTAACATTTTTGATAGTACAGACGTGATAATTATATTGTTGTTAAAAAAGCCCCATTTTTCGTGACTCCTAATTTCGAGAACACTCCCCTATCTGCCACAGCTAGTATCGGAATACTAGGCGTCGAAATCTCGAGCAACGTTCAGTTCCGCGGTCAATTGGAAGGTAAGGCCAAATTGGCCTCAAAGAAACTTGGTGTGCTCAGCAAGGCGAGACAGTACTTCACGGCGGCTCAACGCTTAAAACTCTATAAGGCGCAAATTCGGCCCTACATGGAGTACTGTCTCATCTCTGGGCGGGAGCCCCTCATTACCAGCTTCTTCCATTTGACCACATTCAACGTAGGGTTATCGACGATCAAAGTCTTTCCGATCAGCTTGATCCTTTGGCTCTGCGTAGACATGTTGAATCACTCTGCATCTTCTACTGCATTTATCACGGGGAGTGTTCCGAGGAATTGTTTGGATTGATCCCGGCGGCTGAATTCGACTATCGGACATCGCGCCAAAAATTTCATCCACACCACCTCGATGTCCAGCGTTCCACAACAGCGCGATTTTCAAGGCATTTCTTGCCTCGCACAACCACTCTGTGGAACCGGCTGCCGCCGGCGGTCTTTTCGAACCGTTACGACCTGGGAACCTTCAAGAAGAGAGCATACTCTTTTCTAAAAGGCCGGCAACGCATTTCTAAGTCCTCGGGTGTTGCAGGTGTTCATGGGCGGCGGTAATCACTTACCATCAGGTGAGCCTCCTGCTGGTTTGCCCCTTTTCTCCATTACTTGTTACACAAAAAATTATATTGTTGTGTGATTGCGCAAAATAATGCATATTTAAATGAAGCAATTGCGGTTGATTTCTCTGGGATGCCTTCATCAGATCCGGTTTTTCTTATCATGGTACTACCCTTGGGATATCTCCTTTCCAACGAAAAAAGAATCATCAAAATCGGTTCATAAACGACGAAGTTATCCACGACTACACATATGAAATATAAACGGTCGAATTGAGAAACCTCCTCCTTTTTTGAAGTCGGTTAAAAAGAGGTACATTTTCAAGTTATATATTATACTAGCTGCTGCCCGCGACTACGTCTGCGTAGAGGGGTGAAAATTTATGGTTGTATGTATTTTTGTATGTTGTATCATAAGAAAGTAGAAATTAAAAATTTTGTCTAAAAAAAATAAAAAAAAAATTTTTGCGGTGGACTACCCCTAACATTTAGGGGGATGAAAAATAGATGTTGGCCGATTCTCATAGATACCGAATAAGCACAAAAAATTTCATCAAAATCGGTCAAGCCGTTTCGGAAATGAAAACTGTGACACGAGAATTTTATATATTAGATATATCTTTAGGCAGGCTTGGAAAAAAATGTAAGCTTATAGCTTGTAGGCGCACACTTACACCCTAAAAACGACATTGTAAAGTTAATCAACGAATAATAACTTTTGGACCTATAATAAAGTTATTTAATTAAAGCGTTATCAATTGCATTTAATGTCTTTTATAAAGAGTACTGACCCTGGAGATAAAATTTTATATTTTTAATATATGTTTTTATTTGTAACATTTAAGAAGTACAACTTCTTACCAGCGGACATAAGTACACACAAACTTTTGTTATTAAAATATTAATTCATAGAAACTAAAAGAACAGTATGTACATTTAAATAAACAATCAATTAATTGAATAAAAACGTAAAAATTTTTTCAACCCTTTAATATTAACATTTAAAGGGCTTATTACCGGGGGTGCATCTCCCCTCATAAATAATAAAACCATCATTATTCTATGAGATATCAGTGAATGGTGTTCGAAGATTATCAACGACAGATGCAAGTTGGGGCAAAGGGAACGAATCCGTGTATTAATACTCAGCCTTGTGATGATCACTGAGTTCTTCTTCAATGTCCGCACCGGAGCCGTGGGAGTGATTCTCACATAGGACAAGTATTTGTATCGACTGTTATTCTCGAATTCAGTGTGAGTCAAACCTTGCTAATGTTGGCAACATGAAGTATACGCGACAGTGTTGCCCAATCGGTATCACAAATTAAATCGTTAGAGTGGTGTTTCATTAGTGATATTAAAGTGATAAAATAAGTAATTACACCAGTGTCATTGTTGTGCAAAGTAAAACTAAGGTGATTTGGTAAAAGTATTTATAATTCTACCTTCTTAGGTCGATAAAACAAATTATAGCTAACACTAATACCAGTAACAACATGATTCACATATTATGCCGAGCCCACCTAGGGATATATGATGAATGAGATGAAAAAGCATTGTTTATTTCATATTTTAAAAGGGTTAACAAAGGAAAATACGCCTTTTAAAAATGTGTCTTTGTCACTCGATAAAACAAATAAATACGTAAACTGCCTCTTATCATCGCAAGATATAATTCTAGCTTTGATATAATAGGCTCTTACCTATATATCTACTAGCTGCTGCCCGCGACTACATCTGCGTAGAATAGGCTGATGGCGTAATATTCAGACAGAAAGTCAGATATTCATAAAATATATTTTTTTTATGCGAAAAGTTGCTAAACGAGCATACAGGTCACCTGATGGTAAGTGAATACCGCCGCGCATGGACATCTGCTACACCCGAGGGTTGCAGATTCGTTGACAACCTTTTGAAAATTGGGCTCCGGCTACCTCACTCACCAGACGAAACATGTCTTATTTTGATGTATAAGCTATATTATTGTAAAGTTTCATTAGAATTCATTGAGTAGTATTTGCGTGAAAGAGTAACGAACATCCATCCATACATATAAACTTTCGCGTTTATATTATTAGTAAGGATAGTAATTCACTATCAGTACAGAAGTCTCGTTTACGTGTATACATTGTTTTCCAAAAACAATGTATAAAACCTTAAGGGAAAAATGGACGTAGAAACCCGGATATTGTTGTGATATTTATTTATCAGAATTACATCTACCGACTAATGGAAATAAATTTTGATTCCATCTAGTGGATGGTGTCAAATCAAAGTTCAAATTTATTAGGAGTCGGCTCAACAGGCTTTTTAATATTTCATGATAGATGGCAGATATTTTGATGACCTTTGAATTCCTTTTGCGTTAGTTATAAATTATTGGCTTTCTGATCGTTAATACTCACAGCCGCTTTAAGTTTTGACCTACTGAATCACGCTACATGTATTTTGTAAATAATATGGGATATAACAAATTTTTCATTCAGTTCAAATCATTCATACAGGATTAGAACTCATGTGTTTGTCCAATTATAAAAAATATTTCACTTAAAAAGTTTGGTATAATCTTGTATCTATAAAAAATAAAAATTCTGTCAGTTGTCATCCTCGAAAATCCCTGTAAATTTCAAACACATTACATTTTTCCATCGTTATGTCGTGTACGTGTCATTTCAAACCGATAGATGTCACCCCGGCGAAATTGAAACACGCTATCGAAAGTTAGGGGAGAGAAATGAAGTCTGCTGCCGGGTCATCTGTCCTTGCGAAACTCTTTTTTCATTTACTAGCACAAACTTTTTGAAAACGGCACGTAGCAGGGATGCTACTATGCCGTATATTATAAAATAGCTTGCTTGCTCTGTTTATATACCGTCGAATAACGCGTATAATATAAAATACTTTCTCGTATACGAAAAATATATATGAAAAAACAAATAATTGTATCGCATCGCAGCAAATCTAATATCGAAATTTTAAAATTTAACTTAGCCCAAAAACTGATTTTTATTTTAACCTGTAGACCCAACACATCAATCTGGACACAAATCAGAGCACTATACATTGTTTAGAATATAATGCCGGCTGATCTTCCATTTAAGTTCAAAACGTTATCAACCTATTAAACTTAGTTTTTATATGTGGAGGGTTAATTTACTTTGAGGAACTTGACGGAGTATGATGCTGCTGCAACAAACAACTCTGTCGCATATATCGTGCACGGTGTATGTGTTGTGACAGTAAAAAAGTTACAGTGTGATGAAAGAACTATGTCACCCTAGGTACGTACTAGTATAGGAATAAATTTAGATGACAAGTTAAAAATATCCTTAATGTTAATATCCCATGTTGTCTTGAACCTTCAAAATAATTCAGCAGGTGGTTGGCATTTTTGTTGATTCTAGCTTTGAAGTTACTAGACCAAGTAAGTAAGGAAACCTTGAGGGGAAATCACTGATCCCGGCACGAAGTACACGAGATTGACGTGGGAGGCGAGGGCATTTAATATGCCGACCTACTTCAGGAGATCTAGCTGGTGGGAGAGAGTGCGAGTCCCGCAAGAGGAAGGCGACCAAGATTCCAAGTACGGAAAACATGGCCGCTAAATACAAGGCGGTAGCGATCTCTGCCTCAGCAAAAGGAACAGAAGAAGCAGAGGTGATGGAAACTAAGAGAGAGCAAAGAAAAAATTGCCTAACCTGGATGAGTTATTACTGGATCTGCAGTCTCAACCGAGTGGCGATATTGAGGAACACATAGATCTTCAACTCCAGACAATTGAGAAAGTAGCGAACCACTCGCGGAATCCAAAAGGAAACTTCATCCGTGGCTTAAAGCTAGCTGTGCGTAACGTTAAAGCCGCGACCGTTGACTCGGACGGAGGTCAATCACTGGTTAGGGTATGTTATAAGTCTATATATATATTGTTAGGTTGTTAGGTCACGCTAATGTTATAAGGCTGGAGAAGGAGAATGCAGAGTTGCGTTCTCAACTATTCAACCTTACCTCGAAGTTGGATAAGCTAATAGAGGAGATAAATCTTCTTTGTAAGCAAAACCGTGCAAGTGGTGAGACAAGTGCTTCACCTACTCAGAAATCACCCATGAACCATGGTGAAGAGAAGGGTCTTTTGGAGCGTATAGGAGAGCTAATCGAGAACAAAATAGCTGATTTTGAGGCAAAGTTGTTTCGTGATAGGGTGCTTCGACCCACGTTGGGAGCAAGGCCAAAGATTACCTCTTTGGCTAACGAATGTTCAGACTTAGATCCCAGAGAACTACAGCCGCAACCAGTCTCAGAAGAGAAATAAAAAGAAAAAGGCGAAGAAAAAGAAGTCCTCACCATCGTTAGTGACAGATTTGCCTCCGATCCCTGCACCATATGTGCACTCAGAGGCAGAGACAGCGTCAAGGTCGTGGGTAGAAGTGGTCAAAAGAACCAAAACTCAGGCGGTTACTACCAACTTGAATAAAATGCCTAAAGGCTCAAGGAAATCTCGCGCTCCTTCGTCTGCAGCGGTGAAAGTTACAATTCTAGAAGCTCCTCCGTTACATACGGAATGTTAATGGCGGAAGCAAAATCTAAAATTGCGTTGCTAGCGCTAGGTATAGAATCTGCCATTCGTCAAAAACGCGCCGTGGCCGGAGGTCTCTTATTAGAGGTCTCAGGTCCAAACTGCGGGCAGAAGGCGGACAATTTGGCTGCTAAATTGCGGGAGATATTTCCAGCCGCAGGTTCGAATAAGTCGCCCAATAAAATCAGGCGATCTACGGCTGAGAGATCTTGATGACGCCATAGACCCTCACGAGTTAGCAGTAGCGGTTGCTGAAGCTGGAGGATGTTCACCGGATCAAGTGAAAGTAGGGGATATCCGTCGAACACCCACCAGCATGGAAACGTGCTGGGTTAGATGTCCAGTAACGGCAATGCAGAAGTTGTCGGCTGAAGGATCTTCGCGCGTGGGCTGGGGCTCTATAAAAGTAGAGTTGCTTGAGCCCAGGCCTATGCGCTGTTTTAGATGCCTTGAAACAGGCCATGTGGTTCGCAGACACTTGTGGTGAGACCGGGCATAAAGCGAAGGAGTGCACCTCTACAGATTTAAAGTGCCCCTTGTACTCGGATCTGGGACTTCCTTCGAGTCACCGTCTGGGTAACCAGTGCCCCAAAACAACGAGAAAAGGCAAAAAGAAGCAAACGCAGGCCACTACAGCAAAAACGGCTACGGCAACTAATATGACGGCGACGAGCAATAGCTCGCCGATGGAGGTTGGTGAGGTATAAAAACGAAACCCAAACCCAAGAGTCCTTCAGGGCAACCTAAATCACCATGCACGTTGTTGGAAAAATGCCAGGGTTTTGTCGCAATACAGTGGGGCACTCTAGCCATAGTGGACTACGTCTCACCCAATAGATCTCTTGCAGACTATGAGGCGTACCTAGATGATGTAGCTGATTGCATTCGCCGATGCTTACCTCGTACTTTAATCGCTTTAGGGGATTTCAACACTCACGCTAGAGAGTGGGGGAATCTTAGAAACGATTCAAAGGGAGAGGCAGTAATGGAATGGGCTGCTGGGTTGGATTTGACACTCGCTAACCAAGGATCAGTTAGCACTTGCGTACGGTACCAGGGGGAGTCAGTAATAGATCTTACATGGGCGACTCTTGCTGCCATGCGTATGCTGCCTGATTGGCGTGTTGCAGAGGAGGTGGTAACGTTATCAGACCACCGCCACATCTTCTTTGATGTCGCATTCCGTCGTCCTTCTAGCGATTCCGGTCGCAATGTTGGCGGTCCTATGCGGCGTTGGTCCCTTAAACGGCTAGATCGAAATATGCACGAAGCCGACACCAACGTTGAATCGTGACAGCAAAGCACAGGAGGGATTACATCTGATGTGGAAGGAGAAGCACACTGGTTCCGGGTTATAATGACTCGAATTTGCGACACATCTATGCCTCGGAACAGCCTCTCTAAATGAAGGGGAGTGTATTGGTGGTCTCCGGAAATTGCACGATTGCGTGCCATGTGTCTGCGTTGTCGGCGCCAGTATACTAGGGCCCGAAGAAGGGGGAGGCGACTCCCAGATGATGAAATTGCCGTATTATATAGGGAATATCGAGCATCCGCCCAAGCGTTGCAAGCTGCCATTTTGCACGCCAGGTCACAATCCTGGGCAGAATTGTTGGAGGAGCTTAATGAAAATCCATGAGGGCGGTCTTATAAGCTGCTGCTAGGAAAACTCAGCCCCTGGATGCCCCCAGTGACGTAAACTCTGGACTCGAATCTGCTGGAAAGAGTGGTTACTTCAGTCTTTCCAGATAACCGGTTTCTCAGATATCCCTCTATACAAACTCCAACGTCGGTACAAGAGTGGCAAGAGAATATAGGAGTGACAGAACTGGAAATGAGCAGAGCGGTTAGCCGATTAAGAGCCCGAAACACTGCACCAGGGCCTGATGGAATACCGGGTAGGGCTTGGGTGCTGAGCCTGTCCATATTGGGTGAAAGGTTAAGGCAGTTGTTCTCCAGCTGTCTATATAACTCCACGTTCCCCAAGCCCTGGAAGGAGTCTAAACTGTCCTGGTCCTCTTAACGAAGGAAGGTAGAGCAGCAAATTCTCCCTCCGCGTACCGTCCGATCTGTCTGTTGGACGAAGTTGGCAAGATTTTTGAAAGAATCATTTACTCCCGACTCAATGAACATCTTTCGCAAGTCGGTCCCGATATCTCCGAAAACCAGCTTGGCTTCCGAAAGAAGCGTTCAACTATCGACGCCATCATGCGCATTCGCTTCTTATCGGACCAAACTGTGTCCCAGGGTTGGGTGGCGTTGGCGATTAGTCTTGATATCGTAAACGCTTTCAACTCTCTACCTTGGGGCGCTATTCTGGAAGGGTTAGCGACACACAATGTGCCACAATACCTCCAAAGTATTGTCGCAGATTATTAGCACGACAGGTACGTTCTGTACATAGACCAAGACGGTACAAGAATCAGGAGGGAGATGTACTGTGGGGTTCCACAGAGCTCAGTGTTGGGTCCATTATTGTGGAACATTGCATATGATGCGGTTCTGCGTATGGAGCTTCCCGCCAGCGTCGACGTCGTATGCTATGCGGATGACATGCTAGTAGTTGCTAGCGGGGAAAATTTCGAGAGGGCTAAGGAGCTAGCTGAGCTTGGCGTTCAAATCGTCATTGATAAGATACACGAGTTAGGATTAAAGATAGCACCCCACAAGACCGAACCGCTATGGTTTCATAAAATGTCACGAAACACGGAACCATCTAACTCGTGTATACATGTGAGTGGGTCTGAAGTAAAAGTGGGTAATATGAAGTACCTTGGCCTTATCCTGGACAGTCGCTGGGGTTTTGAAGAACACTTTGAGCTCTTAGTCCCCCGGATCGAGAGGGTAGCGGGTGTTATGCACAGACTGCTACCCAATCTCGGGGGCCCAAGAAAGGAAGTACGCCGCCTCTATGCAGGAGTTGTACGATCCGTGGCTTTGTATGGCACACCAGTTTGGGCTTAAAGGCTGGTCTTTAGACGCTGTAGAACTTAAATTTACAGCGTCCAGCGAAGGATAGCCATACAGATTGTTCGAGGATATCGCACGATATCATTCGAGGCGGCGACACTCCTGGCCCGCTTTCCACCGTTGGACATATTGGCGAACATGGATGCAAATGTTTACAATCAGATTCGTGTCATCCGCCAAAGTGGTCATAGCGAGTCAGTAGAGGTGCTCGAGGCTGTTAAACGGCAAGAGCGGCTAAGCGCTCTTTGGACGTGGCATGCACGGCTTTGTAAAGAGCAATATGCATGCAAGCGCGTTGTAAGAGGAATTTTGCCGGTCTTCCAAGCCTGGATGCAGCGACGGTGGGGAAGACTCACGAACAGACTTACACAAATAATCACTGGGAACGGCTGCTTCGGTGATTATCTGTGTAGGATTGGACGAGAAGAGACGGCGATGTGCTACCACTGCGATGGGGGTAAACCAGGATTCCGCAGACCATACGCTTGCGGTATGCCCTGCATGGGAGACGGAGAGGCGGATCCTTGAAAACCAAATTGGTCAGAGCCTTTCCCTGACAGCAGTTATTTCTGAGATGCTGTCCGGGAACCCTGAGTGCGGCGGTATTCACTTAATATCAGGTGAACCGCCTGCTCGCTTGGTAACTTTTCACATTAAGAAAAAGTGATTCCTGAGGTACAGGTTTGATTCCTAGTTCAGGATTCAAGGTCACTATGATTCATGGCCGTATTTTTATCAATAAACTTTATTATTAGTACCGGGAGGAGGTTTTTTTTTTGGTGAATCGTGTATTTTGGAAATTACATTTAGATACAAATTACTGAGTAAAGAAATATGCATAATATTTTTCGATCTTACCGACGTAATAATAAGAAAATATGAAATGATGTTTTTCACAAAAGAAAGAACTTTAAAAAAAGGGAAAAAAATAACAAAATAACAAATCGACAAAAAATTAAAAAAAAAAAAAAGAAAGCAATGACCTGGAATCGAAAAAAAAGTAAAAAAAATAAATGTGTAAAAGATCGTGACGCGAACCACGGCCGTATGTTTCAAAGAGAATGTAATCACTACGTTTACTGTTCTGTTTTGGGGCCGCCCGATTACCGACCGAACTATTATGATATTTTCTCTTGCGGCGAAATTTACCGTCATATTCGAATTATATTTTTCATTCCCTGAAAACAGGGATAAAAGGACATTTTCTAAAAATGAAACCTAGCTAGATCGATTTTTCGCCCCCGAATCTACGCAAATACTAAATTTCATGAAAATCGCTGGAGCCGTTTCCGAGATTCCGATTATATATATACAAGAATTGCTCGTTTAAAGGATAAGATTATATCATTCGGATATTTATTTATTTTCTCCTCTGGTTGGATCAGTAATTAAATAAACGTACATACAGATAATGACTCCGAGACGCAGTCGCCAAGATATTGGCTTCGGCGTCGTGGGTTGTGGGTTCAATTTCCACACGGGACAACTATTTGTGCAACCTACAGATAGGGGAAAGTAGGCACCATTCGTACGCGGGGCATATACGAACATTAGTTAAAAAACACAAACGACAAGCTAGCGGACGTTTCTTTTGGATGTGTGCATAAGTGGCCCAGCCATCAATACGTCAATGTAGTTTCACGCTATTCCCACAATGGAGAGCAAAGTGACAAACAGAAACGTATTTTCGCGCTCGGGAAGGTATTTTTTGATTAACGTTTACGTGCATTATTACACTAAATATGATAAGTTTTTCTACACAGTGTTTCTATCGGTAACTAGGAAATATCTTTAAGATATGTTTTTAAAAACCAATTATTTGATTTGCATATGGATATTAAAAGAGGTTATATTTAATTATTATTTGGTTAATGGGGCACCCCACTCCACGGGGTACATTCGTACGCATATGAAGGTGCCGATTGTTCGTGTATATTTTATTATAATATGTATTAAATATTCCTCTTTACAGGAAAATGGTGCTAAATTATAAACCTATAAAAATATAATGTAGTTTGTATGTTTACACGTTCCTCGATGTATATACAAGATATATATATATATATATATATATATATATATATATATATATATATATATATATATATATATATATATATATATATATATATATATATATATATATATATCTTATGTATATATATCTTGTATATATATCGAGGAACGTGTAAAACATTATAGCATTTATCCTTTGGTCAGTAGATATAAGGTTTTGGATCTAATCTTTTTTATTAATTATTTAACGGACGGCTAGACTGTAGCAAACTACTTAGTCCAATTAAATTAAAAAAAGTTATGCCACTATTTTTAATTTCAATATATTCCCAATTTCATAGGCCTTTTAGAATTGTTGCACAAATAATATTCCGCCGAAGTTGTGTGTGAGAAGCCTCATCCCGTTACATAAGCGAGGTGCATCTAAGTTTCCCATAAGCATGACCCAATACACCTTATGATACCAACCATCATATCCAGCAAAACCACCATCCCGCCTTTTAATAATTATCTATATATATATATATATATATATATTTTCAATTTGCTTTTGTCATTTGAAAATAAAATTCTTTTCGAAACCTGTGCCTGTGATCTTTCTTCATTTTGTGTCGAAATATATTTTTTTGTACGCTTTCTTTTTCAGTAACGCTAATTACTTATAAAGGATTTTCAGGGGATTGTTAATTTGTGTTAAAAATTCTTTTACGGTTATAAC